GATGAAGATGATGGATGGATGGATGGATGGATGATGATAATGATGGGTGGATGGATGGATGGATGAATGATGGATGAAGATGATGGATGGATGGATGGATGGATAGATGATAATGATGGGTGGATGGATGGATGGATGAATGATGGATGAAGATGATGGATGGATGGATGGATGGATAGATGATAATGATGGGTGGATGGATGATGGATGGATGGATGGATGATGGATGGATGGATGGATGGATGATGATGCATGGATGGATGGATGGAGGATGGATGAATGATGGATGGATGATAATGGATGGATGAATATTAAATGGATGAATGATGATGATGGATGGATGGATGATGGATGAATGATGATGATGATGGATGGATGGATGGATGGATGGATGGTTAGATGGATCATGGATGATGATAGATGGATTAAACTATTTTCATATTGTGTCCATCAGGGTCTCCTTGTCCTTTGTCTCAGCTTTTCTGAGAAAACGGTTGATTTTTACCTCGTATGTCTCAGTAGATGTTGATGCAGGTCTGAATCTGTAGTAATGAGCTGAAAGCAGCTCCATGTGGAATGAAGCCTTTCTTTTCTCCCCACAGACTCCTTCAACAGAACAGTGCAGATCATCCTGGAGGTGGTTCCTGCTGATCAGTGATGGAGTCTGCTGCACAGTTTTCCGTTTCACTGAGGAAGGATGAAACTAATTCCAAAAGCCACCAAGCAAAAATCTTTTTAGAGATGTTTACTTTGAAGTTTACAACTTTTTTATTTTGTAATATAGTTTGGTTTAAAATAAAAATAAGTGATTATTAACATTATAGTTTGTGTTGCCTTTGTGGACCATCACATGTACTGAAAGAACACAATAAAAACAAGTCTGAGTGGTTCAATACATGATTCACCCCGATAGATGGCAATATGAGTTTAAAATCTATTAACTCTTAACTGAAACATTTCTCCCAGCATTTAGTAATAACTCCCAATAAACAAACAGGAAGGATGCAGTTTGTATAAACTTTATCAACAGGTTAGCAATCAGAAGAAGCCATTTCTGATGTTGGATTGCCAGATATAACTGTGGTGCCTTTTTATATTCATTTTAGAATTCTAATACTTAATGATTTCTCTCCCCTTGTTTAGCGAAGGGATCGTTTTGGAACGAGGTTGCCTGGAGCTCATTACCTTCCCCGTGGTTGGAAAAGTTTCCAGGTTCAGCTTGCGTATGGAAGGTGCTACGTCTGTCTGTTCTCCATCAGTGTTAGCATGCAGATGGCCCAGCCGCACCATTATGACCTTTGCCATTTAACTCAATCATTATCATGACTTTCCATCACCGGCCTGACCTTATGTTCCCAACTCCCATCACATTTCACATTTGCCAGTCAGATTGCAGCAGCACCACCATCCTCTTCTTGCATCCTGAATGAAGTGCTCTGGCCCGACGCATCCTGCTGTGGGCCATACACTAACTTGAGAGAACTACTTCTGTGTGTGTGCATGCTCTTGTTTGGGTATCAGAGTGAGGACCATTTCTCTGATTTCAGTATCAAGTTGAGAAATGTTTGTACCAAAGTGAGGACATTTTCTGCTGGTCCTCTCTTTCTTTTAAGTGCTTACGTTTGGCAATCAGGTGTGAATTTGATTGAGGCTAGGGTTGAGTATACACAGGTGATGACCTACAGTAGCAGCTATTCCAAATAGCACTTCCCAGTCAAAAGCAAGCCGAATGGCAGCAAAATCCCTTCCAGCCACTGGCCTTCTCATAGGTGTGCATATTTTTTTAACTCCCACTCCATCCTTTCACTGAATTACAGGATCTGACCAGGAGATGACACTTTTTTTTAGATCTTAATGTCCACAAATCGTGACAGAATATTTTGGTACAAAGATTGATGTTTAAAAAATGAATCATAGGGGACCAGCCAAGGAAAGTGGGGAAATTTTGAATGGCTACTGCTGTATATCATGGTTAATGTGAGGGTTAGGGCATAGAAAGAGTTGAAGTCGCCTGAAAATCAGTGAGAATCAACATATGGTCCTCACTACGTAGAGTAAGACCAGAATGTGTGTCTGTGTGTGTGTGGAGTCTGTTGATGTCTCTGCTCTTAGTCCCCCCCTGGGTGGAATTTACAGGTAATCTATCTGTGTAACTGCTGCCCCCTGGCACCTGGAATTCCCTCTCTGCTCCGTCTGTAAATGGAGGGCTTTTACTGTTGATGACAGGATGGCAGGCTGGAGACAGAATGCCAGGGAGCTTTTACTTTAACACTGAGGCACTGGGAGTTTGGCCAAAATCCAAGCAGCATCAGGCTTTGGGTGAGATGTAAGCAGTTAGCTGGACGAGCTGCAGGCGGGTGGATGCTTCATGTGCTGCCAGCCACAGAGATTTAAATGGCAAAGTAACATTTTCGAAAAAGTCAGTCGAATCTGTTTCTGTAATGAAGGGCAAGTCTAAATCAGGAATATTCTAAAGCCTTTTCACATTCAGATGCTTGGAACTGTCCAACTAAGCTGACACTTTAGCTCGTTTAAGAATCCTGGCATCAATATTTCTACTTCATCGGTCAAACCTAATGTCTTGGTAAATGTCATTTTTCTAGTCTCCATCAGTAAAATTACTTTCACATTCATCAATTCATACCCATCCATATTTCAATGCAATGTGAGGTTCGGTTTGTTGCTAAAGGACACTTGTGGTGCCAGAGGCAAGGACAAAAACGACTTTCCAGTTGCCAGGGAAATACTATTTTCCTCAGGGTCGGGAAAGAAAATGGATGAATAACAGTGAGTATTTCTATTGGCAAAAGATCAAAGGTTAAATATTTGCAATTTTCTGCTTGGCCAGGTTTCACTTTTTGTAGCTTCAAATGATTGACCTGACTATGTGATGAAAAGGGGCAAAATAAAAGAAAAAAATGTCAATTAAAACATATATTACAGTAAAAATTCTCTACAACATCAATGAGAATGTCATCCCAACAGGAAACCTAAAAAAGGCCTGAAATTGTGTTAACTGGTCCTAAATGGATTATTCCTTTCCAATGTTAAACCCCAAAATACCTTATTTGCAGTATAATCATTAAATACTTCATTTTACCATGACTTTATTTGAGTTAACATTATTTTCTATAGATATAACTGCCATTCTACATACAATTTTAAACTGTGTACACTTTAGAATACTTTTGGTTGTTCTTAAAGCACATTAAACATTATAGCTTAGATGGTTAAAGGGGATTGAATTAATTTTATCCATGGTAGGAGAACAGACAGTACAGCAGGTTCCACATTGGCAGGATTTTGATGTTACTGTAATTAAACCTGATAGTCATCTGCATACCGAAAGCTTCAGAGACGAACCACACATCCTAGATGTTAACGTGTTAAGTGCTATTTCTTACAACTAAACTTCAGAGTTATCAGTCACCTTCTTGAACATCTGCGAACTTCAGAAAAGTAACTTCTTCTTTAAGAAGCATTCACTCTAAAGAGAGAGTCAGTTAATTAAAAACAGCCCCAAAAAACGCAAGATGGATTCTGCACACTTGAGCCTCTTTTCCACTGAAAATAGTCGGTTAATGTGTGTGTAAACCCGTTTTTACACACACATTAATTAATAATTAATGTGTGTGTAAACCTGTTTTTACACACACATTAATTAATAATTAAGGTGTGTAAACATGGGTCAACCAGCTAACAGTAGGCATCTGGCTCCCTTCCCACTGGCAAGAAAATGCTGGTCTAACCCCTCATTCACAGCTAGTTATAGTTGATGATGTCACCGGTGCGACAGAAATCAGGAAAGTAAACAACGGAGAGCAACATGGAAGGAAGCCAGGGTGTAGTCGGTGTGCTTTACTGTTTCTCTCTATTATGTGTCTGAATCCCTCTCACCAGAGCTGCTCCATGTTTATCAAATGGAAACAGGGTTGTTTCTGCTTGTGTTAGGTCAGAAACAATGGATGCGGTGTTTCGACGTCTGTATTTTGCTTTCAAAGGTATCACGTAATTTAGCCAGTCAACTCTGCCAATCAGAGCCGAGGAGATTTTAATGCTTGCCGAGTCGTTTGACCCAGGTAGACACGCGCAGTGAGCTTTTCGCCACTAAAAGATGATTGTTTGCAGGTTTAAACAGGATTTATGGTCCTTAGGAAAGTGGTATATATGTCTTGAATTGCTGAAAACGGCATGCTAAAGTGCCCTAATGGGAGCCAGAATGTGTGTTAAATTTTTCCCTTCTTGGAGCTCAAGTGCCACCTACACTCATGAGGTTGCGACGTATAGGTGCCATTTTTTTTTTTTTTTTTTTTTTACTTTCCACCTGTGGCCTTTAGAAAGTCTGTGCCACTGTGCCACTGTTCTGGTGCAATTCCATAATAGATTTCTGTATAGTTGTGAGTTTTCAAGGTGGCTGTTTGCTGATGTAACATCACTAGTTTGATTTTGATATATCCTTTAAAAAGAACTGCAGCTCCCCCCTTCTTAGCAGCTTTTTTTAGGAAGTTTTTTTTTCCCTCTAATGTTGGATTCTTGTTATGATGCATAACCTGTAAACCATTTGTTTTTTGTTTTTATTTTGTATGATTTGTTTTATGATTTATGATCTGAATCACCACTTGATGAACTGGATATCAGTAAGTTTTCATCCATATTATCCACTATTAGAGTTTAGCATGTGATGTCATCAGCTCAGTTGTGGCTAAGCTAAAGGTATAACACGGCGATGCATTTTTGGCAATAACTGTTCACTTTGATCATGTTCTGTCAAAGAAAACATCATTTAGACATGTTTTATGCAAACTTGTCATGTCTTAAGCAAGACCCCTCGGTGATTCACATCATCAGCTTGTTTTCCTCTGCTCAGTATAGACCTATAGCTTACGTCCCTTTATCAGTGGACCGCTGCAATAAAGGAAAGTGTGACGAACTTGTCAGAGAAAACTGAAGACACCGTTAAAGGTTTTTTTAGGATTACAAACTGGGATGCATTTTGACAGCCAACTGGAGACAACAAAAATAGCTCCTCAGAATTAGTTATACCCAGGTAAAAGAACCCTGTTGCCTTTGTTTCCATTTGTATAGAAAGGCAACTGACCATTTATTTACAATCAAAAACTGCACCACATCTTCAGTCAAGCAGAATGTCAATCGGAATAAGAGCACTCAACTAAATTTTCTCATAACTCCATTTTAAAGGAGAAGCCCGGTCATATTCAGAATTCAAACTTCTGAAAGTAATTTAAATATGAAATTATTACATACTGTTCAATAAAATAATGTGAATGCGCTTTACTGGAGGCATCCATGTTTGTCAAAGAACACTGCTATTGCTGTGCCAGGTAACTGCAAGGACTTTCTATCTCATGAGTCCGTCCCCTTTAATCATTATTTTTGCCATCTTCATCAAACACTTTCAAACCACTTGTAAGGTGAGTTTCAATCTAATCTGGTTTAAGATGTGTTGCCTTATTGCAAATAGGGCCATTCTAAATCTGTTACTGGACTCTACATGTACAGAATGCTATTACAAGCTGGGTATATTAAACAGGGCTTAATATTGTCAGGAGGTATAGTTCTGTAGTTGTAG